TATTAAAATGAAGAATTTCATTCTAAGATAAGCAGGGAGGATGTGGCAGAAATTGCTGGCTACCTACCGCATACCATTCTCCTCTTCCATGTGAACAAAACCTCGGTTTTGTTGAAGGTGATGGTGTGTCCAGGAAGCAGACTACATTTCCCATCCTTCCTTGAAACTAGGGAAATTACTATATGGTATGAGTCTGACCAATGAAATGTAATCAGACTTTAAAAGGAGGCTTGACTTAACTGGCAAATGTCCTTTTGCCCTTCACTCATCTACCTCTTCCTGACTTGAAGGCGGATGCAGCACTGGATGTGCACTTAACCACTTTGTGACCATGACACAACTAAGTTAGAGCCAAGGCAATTATAGGGACCTCGGTATGGCTATATTTAGCTGTTGAACCAGTGACAGCAACCTTCTCATTGTGTGAGAAAAGATAAAACATGTAATTTATTTAAACTTCTGCTTTGGGGAGACATTAGTAAATGCAGCTGAAATTATCCCTTAATTCAGAAGGAAGAGGAGATTGATCATAAAGTATATAGTTTTGAATCTGTGCTTGGAAGAGTGTCATGAATAAAACATGGTTGTAAAGATGCAAATTGTGTTCAGAGATATATACTGGTCAGTACATATGGCCTGGGCCACAGAGGCCTAGACTTCCTCCCAAGGCCTGCAGCTGACCACATGCCTTCCAAGGTTCTCAGTTATCTCATCTAAAACAGGAATAGATCAGATTTGTCTAAAGTCGTTTCAATTTGAAAATTCTATGATTTGAGTGAATCCGTTTGGCTGGGGATGAGTAGATCAGGATTAAAAAGGCAGTAAGTCTTGCTCCTTTCTAATCACAAGACAGCCCAAGTTTTGATCTTTTTAAAATGAAAATCTGATCAAACCTCTCCTTTGCTTAAAACTTTCCAGTGGTTCCCGTTGTCACCAGAGTAAACAAACTCTTAGCGTGGTACCTAAGGCCCTTTGTGATCAGGCTCTAGTATCCTGTCCTGCCTCGTGTCTCACTTATTTTTCATCCACCTTGCCCATCGCCTCAACCTATCCTTTTCCCCTAACAAAATTTCCAGCCATATTGAACTGTGTGTAATCCCTTGATCTTGCCAGGTTCTCTCTCATTTCCCGGTCTTAAGCATGCTATTCTCTCTGCCTGGAATGTTTTCTTTCTATACTCCTCTTTTTTGAGTGGCTAACTCCTATTTATTCTTTAGGTTTTGGTACAAAGATCACCCTTCTCTGGAAGCCTTTTCATACCCCTAAGATGGGGTTAAGTGCCCCTGTTAAGTTCTGTCTTGAAACCTTGTGATTATAAATGTTCTAACACTATTCCTAATACATTCAGATTACCTGTTTGCTCACTTATCTCCTAAACTAGAATAAATTTCCTTGAGGGAAAGGACTGAGTCCTATTCCGTAATTTTTTCCCGAGCACTTAGTATAATATAGCAGTACTCTATAGATAGTTATTTCATAAATCTTGGACTTATGGATAAGTTGGGACCAAACTGTGGAAAGACTTAAAATGAGTTTGTTGAACTTTTTAATAATACCACTGGGAAATCAATCATGATGGTAGATGATAGCATCATTCTCCACCTTGCTTCGTCACTGAGGCACTATGGAATAGTGAAGCATTTACATAAAATAAGTAAATATGTGTTTTTGTACAAAATTAGATTCCATCTTATACAGATTAAAATGCAGCCTTTATTGGATTCCAAAGGTTTAAAAAAAATTCTGAGAGAGAAATTTTAACTTCTGTCATGTGACTTTTTCTATCAGTAGGGAAGCTGTTCTTAGATTATCTTAATTTTAGCTTTTTCATTACCTTGGTTTATTTTACAGAGCTTCTATATTATATGGAATCATAAGTTGGGAAAGCCCTAAAATAGAGAATACAGTGTAAATTGAGAAAGGAATAAGTTTACCTATCCCTTTTTATTATCATACAACCATTTTTTAAAGCTGGTTCCTTAGTATCAGCAGAAAGAATATACGATTAGGAGGTTTGAAGCCTTTAGGGATCCTAGATTATTCCTTCAGAACACCAGTGTCATTATTGCCGGTAGCATTAAAGTCATAAGCATCCTGTTACTCAACAAGGCTAGAAATCAAAAGGTTTAACTTGAAAAATCCTCTCCATCTTCTATTATTTACATATTTTGTTTGGAATAAGTTGTTGAAGACAGATGTGGGATTTTAACGTTTTTATATCTTTATAATTCCAAAACAAAGCATTGAAAAAAAAATCATACTCTTGTAGATTTAAAACTTGTGTGTTAAATAAGCCATTTTTCTCTCTGCCTCCCTTGATGCCCCATACTTGGCCTGCCAGGATTGTAGGGATCTTTGCTTTATGTTTCCCAGAGATTGTAATTTGATCAAAAGAAGGAGAGATGCTGTAGGAGGATTTTACTTAAGAGATCACTGAGTGAAATAGAAAGAGATTCAAGAGAAGGGGTAGCGGTGCTATAGGTAACCTGTGTTTCCTGTGGAGCTGGGCATCCTCGCCGTGAGCATGGATCACACTTTGCAGAGGAGCAGCAGGCACGCTGCACAGCCATTGCAGGGCCAGGAGTCTTCAGGAGAACCCTTACTGATTTGCCCTTTTCTGTCATTTCCTTCGAGGGTAAATGATCACATCCCCTCTGTTGTCCTTCTCACTTTGTCAGAAACTCATGGAAAATATCAAGAAATCAGCCACTTATTGTTTATTGTTGGTCTCAGGAAAAATTATCAGAGTGGTGAGGAAGCTGCCTCTAGAGTTCCCACAACAGAGGCCATGAGGAAGCAGCAAAATCCCTAGTCTCGCCAGAAAGCTCCTACCTGTAATGAATACGGAAATAGTAGAGGGCAGTTAGGGAAAACAATGATTGAAGTGCTATAAACATTGTACTTAGGGAACTTTCCTTCCCCTTTGCAATACCACTTACAAGGATACACCTCCAGGGAGGCCTGTCCCTTAGGTTGGAAGCCATTGCTGCTGGTGTTTCAGGGTGTCTGCAGAGAACAGCAGTGGGGATTGCTCTGCAGCTCCTACAGCTTCCTGGAAGTAAATAACAACAGGAAAGTGGTAGATTTCTTGACATTTTGAAATATGCTGACAAACTAGGGCAGGGAGCTGCATTAGAAGTGTATGTGCAGCAAAGGCAGATCTATTTTCCATTTTAGGTCCATAATGTGTGCGAAGCACTGTGCTTGCTGCTTTTGGAGACACGAAGTTATATGAAACACAGTTCCTACTTTCAAGGAGCTAACGAACTTGCTGAGGAAAAGGGAAATGCACGGAAATGCTTGTATTTAAAAATATCACATGATAAGGGAGTATAGGTGCTGGCAGAAAATAGAGAACTTTTTTAAAAGGAGTTTATATTTTTATGATCCACAAAACATAAAGCTTTACATATTACATTTACATGGCTAAGTATGAGAGTAAAATATACAGATACGTATATGAGTGAGGTGTGACTTGGGGGATGTTTTCTCAAGGAGGCTTTGCAGATATGTCTGCCTTTTTAGTTTATTACAGGAGTTGTTCATCCAAGTCCATGGCCTCCTTAAAACTTTTCTGCAGAATTTGATGGATAAGTATATGTATATAGTTTCCTGGGGAAGGGACTGATGGCTTTCAGCAGATTCTTAAAGGGTTCTACGACTGAGAAGAAATTCAGAACCACTAATTTACAGGGTGCATTCACAGACTCTTTTCTTGGCTTTACAATATCTTTCACTTCTCTTCTCTTCCCTTTCAATCCATTCTCATTTAACAGTTGGCTATAACGTAAAAATGAATAAATGCTTTTATTTGTTGAATGCATTAAATTAAAGTTTGTATGCCATGTTCTTAATTTTGAAAACAGAGAAGTTCAGCCTATTCAAAATAAGTGATGGCTGTCATTTATTGATCCTCACTGGTGCTGGGCACTTTGAAGTCCACTTTGCACGCGTTAATCCATTTAACATGCAGGCTTTTCATGAAACATAGCTATCAGTATCCCCATTTTGCAGACAAGGAAACTGAGACTCGCTGAGTACTTCTAAGCCTGCTCCCTAATAAATTATGAGACTGTGGTTAATTCCCTGTCTGAAATCTGAAGCCTCTTCTCTCCTGAACCAACATACTCTTCTGTTCTATGATGTATAAACTGTTTATCTCTTTTCCTCCAAAAACAAACAAACAAAAAATCTCTTCTAAATCAGTTTGCTCCTCACAGTCCCCAGTGTTTTCTTTTTTAATGTCAAAATGCCTTTTGAAGTAGATGAGCTTTTGCAGTTTAATAGCTATTAGTCTTATGTATACAAAATGTCAGCATTATCTTCAACATAGAGGAATACATGTTAATTAAAATCTAGATCATTTCATCAGATTTTTAAGTAATATTGAGGCATTTTTAAATTTAACAAGCTGTGTGAACAACTTACCACATACTTGACATCATCGTGCTATATCAGTACACCAGAATGTGGGGGAACATAGAGGCTTAAGGGAGAGGGCTTTTTAAACTACACATCCTGCCTTCTCCATCCCTCATCCCTGTTCATAAACATTGTCTGTAGTGAGAGATGTTACCAATGGGAAGTATTTGACACATGAACTCTATTAGATGCAGAAGGAAGATGACGAAACACCATATTACATCATTTGAAACCCTTTCTTTTGCAGAATTCTGAGTAGGGAGAGACATTATTTGGGAGTTTAGGATGGCTGATATGTCTTGAAATTATATATACTTATTTATATATAATTATTATATAATTAAAACACTTTAGAATATGGTATAAAATGTTGTAACCAAATTATCTCTTTAAAGTGTGTGGCTGAGCAACCTGTAAACTCGAGATCTTTTATAGTCTTACTGTCCAAAACCTTCTTTAGTTAAAACAAAACAAAAAAAAGAAATCCTAAGTGGTTTATATTTTGAAAATGTGCTTCAAGGAAAACATCACGAAAGTAAAATTACTTCATTGCTCTGCCTTTTATTTTGTAATTTTAGGTAAGGCACTGACATTTCTTCTGCTGCAGCCCCCAAGCCCAAAACTTCCTCCACACAGCACTATCCGAAGGACAGCCATTGATCTAATCGGACGTGGTTTCACAGTTTGGGAGCCTTACATGGATGTGTCTGCTGTCCTGATGGGGCTTCTCGAACTTTGTGCTGATGCCGAAAAACACCTTGCCAAGTACGTGCTCAATTCTAGTTAATTTAATTTGGTTTGTTTATGTTTTGTTTGGGTGGACGTCATTGATTGCTCTTTAGAAGTTGTGTGTTTTCAATAGACAAAAAAGACAAATATCTCAATATATGAAATTTTGGATATAGACAATGAAAGGGAAGTATGTTTCTGTAATTTTAACACAACTGGAATTTAGCATTGAGCTAATGAGTGATTGATCTGTGACATAGTTTTTAAATTATGTTTATTGTGCCTTGAGATATTATTAGCTAATAATATAATAAAAATATAAACATATCATTTATAAGGAAAATGATATATGTACTTGCTCAGAAATGTTTTACTGATAGAATACATGGCCAAATAGTTGGAGAACTATTCCTTCACATTTATATTAATTTTTAAATCAACTTTATGAAAGTTTCATTTGCACACAATGAAGGACCAGCCATGAGGAGGTTGCAGTGATCTAGGGAAGCAATGATGAGAGTGTAGTCATGCATCACTTAACAGGGATGTGTTCTGAGAAACATGTCATTAGGCAGTTGTGTTGTTGTGCAAACATCATAGAGTGTACTTACACAAACCTGCATGGTGTAACCTGCTACACACCTCGGCTCTGTGGTTCTAAACTTATAGGACCACCACTGTCTATGTGGTCCACTGTTGACCCAAACATCTTTATGCAGCGCATAACTGTAATGGAATAGGAAGATGAGCTGAGGGAGTTGCTAAAATGAAATAAGTGGGAGACATTTGGTAACCAAATGGCTAGGAGTTGCAGAGGTGGGAGGATGGCGATAGAAATTAGTGTTGACTTAAGAACTCAGCCTCCTGATTCCTGGAGGAAGTCTTTATTTTGGTGGTATAATACACATAACATGAATTTTACCACTGTAACCATCTTAAAGTATACAATTCAGTGACATTAAGTGCATTCACAATGTTATACAACTGTCACCACTATCGAGTTCCCAGGAGTGGTCACCCCAAATGGAAACTCTGTACATATTAAGCAGTCACTTACCATTCTCCCCTCCCACCAGCCCCTGGCAATCACTAATCTGTTTTCTATCTCTATGAATTTGCTTTTTCTGGATATTTCATATAAATGGAATTATGCTGCGTGTGGCCTTTTGTGTCGGGTTCTTTCACTTAACATAATACTTTCAAGGTTCATTCTATGTTGTAGCTCAAATCAATACTTCATATCTTTTTATATTTGAATAATATTACATTCCATGGATATACCACATTTGTTTATTTATCTGTTGATGGATATTTGGATTGTTTACGTTTTTTGGCTATTGTGTATAGAGCTGCTATGAAAATTCATGTGCAAGTATTTGTTTGAACACCTACTTTCATTTCTCTTGGGTAGACACCTAAAAGCAGAATTCCTGGGTCATATGGTAATTCTATGTTTAAGTTATTGAGAAACCACCGAACTGTATTCCACACTGGTTGCACCATTTTGTACTCCTACCAGCAATATATGTCAGACTTCATTTTTTCCACATCCTTTCCAACACTTGGTATCTTCTGGGGTTTTTGTTGTTTTTTTTTTAAAAGATCCATTCTGGTGAACGTGAATTCCTAGTGGTAGGAATTCTTGAACTGTCTTATGAGGCATCTCTTAATGTAAATGTTATTACCTCTTTTCTCAATGAATTGTATTTCATTCTTATTATTGTTAACCCTTTAAAAAACTGAAGTTCTCTGTTCTTTCCTCATGACTGCCTTTCTCATATCGCACAGTTCCCTTACGTTCCAGCACAGCATGCTTTGGCCTGTTGTCTTTCTGCTGGCTTCTCTGTGCTCAGGAAGTGAAGACCAGAGAAGCAAATGAAGGCTAGACAGGAATGCTGTGGCTTTGTGTACAGTTTGGGCATTCACAGCCCAAAGTCCCAAGACTGATTAGTTGGAGGAGGGTATTCATTTCAAACCTAGGCAGCTGCCCTCCTCCATTACCTCCTATCATACACCATCCTTCCTGAACTTCACCTCCCTTGTGTCTCCCTAGCTGCATGCCCTTCAGCAAATTACTTCACCTTCTACCTCAATTCCATCTGCAAGTTGGGGCTAATTAAAGTACTCATCTCATAAGGCTGATATTAAATGAGTATATATTTGCAAAGTGTTTAGAAGTGTACTTAGCACATATTAAGACAGTGAATGGATGTTACCAAGTGGTAGGACAACTGGTGATGCCATTGTCATGATCCTAGTGTTCAGCAAATCAAGAGCTGCCTGTTTCTGGAATGAACAGTTCAACATGGTGGTAAGCAGGATAGTTTCTGGATACAGGAGGCCTAAGGTTCTCAGTTGACCTTAAGAATTACAAGGGAATGTGAGCCCATGAGTTTGCAGCATTACTAAGAGGAAGCTGACCTTTGTGCAAAGCCCCAGAACATATTTTCAAGTTTGTGCTCTCCCCTTGACTGCAGATGCCATGTCTGCTGGCTTCTATTACCACAGCTCTCCTGGTTATCTAGAGAAGCCTTTACCATTTTTTGATTGTCCAAAATTTTGCTTTGACCTAATTTTCTAGACTATTTTCAAATCTGATCTAAACAATTTCAACAGTATGCACTCATGTTGTCTGGGAGGAGAAGTGATGGGATTTTATTTTAAGTTTAGTATTTAGTATTTTTTTATTTTGTTTTTAAATAAGTTTATATGAAGCTTGCATCAGCAAACATAAAGATACACTTATATTTTATCTACATGTGATATGTCCACAGACACAAATACTATAGTTTTTCAGTAGGTGATTTAAATCTTGCTATTACATCCTTTTCTGTCATGAAGATTAGTATGGTTCTCTGTACACAGCTCTGAATAAATGAATGTATCAGCATGTAGCCTTGAGGAGTCCAATGTAATTTTCATCATGATAAATTGCATAATAAGCAAGAAAATGTTTGCTTATTAATCTATAACAAGATTTAGATTGAAAATGGCCTATTACATCCATGACACACTAGGAACAGGCTGCAGAAGGACTGAGATGGGGAGAAATGGAGCAGCGATGTGTGCAGGGGTTATGTGTGCATCTTACACTCATGGCACCCTACTGAGCCGCTCCTTTTTGTGCCTGATTTACTGTGTAAATGATCGCAGTGCTCAGCTGCCTTGCTTCTGACTGTGATGTTAAGCTTGCTTTATGAAGAAGCTTTTGTGGTAGGCTCATGATTTTTAAAATTTCAGTTCATGTTTATTGAAAAAGAAAACTCCTTGGCAATGTTTCCATCTCTATTCCCATTCATGTGAATTTATGAGGGATGGGGTTTTAGGGAGGGGCAGCAAGCTCAGGCCTGCTCCCTAGTCTGGAGAACACTTATTATAGCAGAGTTTCTTTCTTCCTCTCTCTCTTTATATCAACATTCTCTGTCAGAGATGACTCCTGAGAGGTCTCCTAAAAAAACTACCTATGGCTCAAGATTAATAGAGTATTTTTCCAGAATTAATAATGCCTTTATTTTAGAAATATGGCTTAGAATTTTATGTCTTCAAGATCAAAATATCACCAGTCGTTTTCTAATGTTTTCAAATATTTTTCCAAATTTTAAACTATATTTATTAACAAGGAGGCATTTCTTGAGTAGATAATCTGTGGAAGGAACAATGTTAGGTGTTGTATGTAGTTATGAAGTTGTATCAAACAAAGATCCTGTCTCCATGGCACTTGCAGTCTTACAGGAAAGCAAAGATCTGCCTGAGACGACATGATAAAAAGTGAGGCGAGCCAAAGGTCTGGACAATCCGAGCATGAGGAGAGACATCTAGCTGCGTCATCAGAGAGTATGCAAGGAACAGTTTCATTTGAATCTTTTATTTGAATGATGAGGAGAGGAGGGTAAGGACAAGGACATGCAAAAAGACAGAAATGGGAAAGCACAGGCCTGCCCAAAAGATGCTGACTAATACCTTAAAACACAGGGCAAGTGAAAGTAAATATTGCTTTTAACTAATTGTATTCGTTAATTCCTTGCAGAACTTAAACTGTGGCATGCTCCAATCTAAAACTCTAACATAATTTCCTTCCCAGTTATCTCTGGGGAAGAGAATTAGGGTCAAAGAGAAGATTGGTTGTTACCTTTTACTTTATAAAAAGATTGTTACAGTGAGCTTTTTCCTTGTTTTTAGCACCTACCACGTATCTATGAGTATGCAGAGAAACAGGTATGGGATAAGGATAAGAAAAAATGAATCTGTTGTCTCTTGTCCACAGTAACACTGTTGTCAGTGAAAAAGATAGGGGTTCACACTCAGGTCTTGCTATCTCCAGAAGCCATGCTGCTAACACTATGCTGTCTTGCATTCTAAATCTCACACCCACAGAATTAAAGACCAACAAGTACTAAATTTAAAACAACACATTAATTGGACATAAAAGTAATCAACTCACAATTTTCAGTGCACTTTCAGATTTTTAAAAATATATTTAATAAATTCCTTTTCATCAAGGATTTTGTGCCTTCTAGAACGTGAAAACCTATTTAAATATCAGTAAGCTCCTTGAGTGCTTAGGACATGTTTTGTGTGTTTATTCTTACCAATTCATAACATCTTTCATGTGATTTGCATGCAATAAATGTTTAATAAAGACAGAATTTTAGAGATGAAAATCTCTTTCAATAGCCTCTGATCCACTGCCCTCAATATGTGATTAAGTAAACAAGTTTTAGAGAGATTGAACAACTTGTCCGAGGTCACACTAGTGTTGTAAGAGCTAAAACAATATGCAGGTCTCCCACTCTCACTTTGCTGCTCTCATGTCATGTAGTTATGCCACCCTTTATATGACAAGTCATCCACAGGTAGAATCTTATGTGAGGAATTTTTTAAATGAATGGTTATGGGCTGCTCATTCATGAACTGTTTAATAGAAAATGGAGGCTGCACTTCATTGAAATCATAGGTTGAGCCATTGCTAGCTAATCATGAGAAAAATAGAAACATGCAGTATTATCTTTTTTTATAAATCCATCATTTTGATAGAT